TGAATTAAGAAAATAATTCTTTTTCTCAGAGCAGGGTTTGAATTATGTGCAGTAAATAAGGCCTGAGGCCACCCATTAAACAATGAGAATACAACAAAACGTCGAGTGGCTGCTCATTCAGTTAATATTGCCCATTCTATGCACTGTGGAAAAAATAGCATGCAACCACATAATTAAAAACTGTCCCCTAATGCATATGCAGAAAGGAGCTGAATTAAGGTTGCATGGGAAAACCCAATTCTGGCATTTTACTGACTTTTGAGTGTTTGACCTGGCAACTTTAATTATGTTTTTAATGCCATTTTTTATGTAATTATACATATATTTCAAAGTCCTGTGTGTGTATGTATAATGTAGTCAACCTGTGAAATTCAATGCTACAGGAAGTCATGAAGCCAAACTCTGTGAGCCAGATTCTGATCTTATTTATGGTGTAAATCTGGATTAATTTAATGTAACCTCTCAGCTCACTGAGAGTGAAATGTGGGCTGCAATGCGTGACAAGCACCTTTATTTTTAAATCACTCTCTGTAGTGTAAATGACTCTTACTATGCCCTCTTTAAATGTGATCTATATAGTTTATAACAGTAAAAGTGTGTGTTTGGTGGGGGGATGTTGGAACTAAATTTGGGTGAAGCATAGGCAACTTTGAGTCTAAAATCAGTGACATGTCTTGAAATGAAATTACCTTGGATTTGTCCCAGTATAACTGAGGTCAGAATTTGGCTGTGAGACTAGATTTGAAACTGGCCTGGATAAGATTCTAACAAATAATAATTTTTGTAGCTGTGCATGCTAGAATAACAAGGCTAAACAAAACTCATTATTCAGGGCATCATTTCGTTTCTAGGGCTGTCAAGCGATTAAAAAAATTAATCGTGATTAATTGCACGATTAATCACGCTGCTAAACAATAATAGAATACCATTTATTTAAATATTTTTGGATGTTTTCTACATTTTCAAATATATTCATTTCAATTACAACACAGAATACAAAGTGTACAGTGCTCAGTTCATACTTATTTGTATTACAAATATTTGCACTGTAAAAACAAAATAGTATTTTTCAATTCCCCCATTGCAAGTACTGTAGTGCTATCTCTTTATCATGAACATTGAATTTACAAGCTGTGACAAAGTTCCTCCTCTATCTTGGTGGGTCCTGCGCTTATTGGCGGATTTTCTTGCCGCAGAGATTCACCATGTGGGTTGGGGAACAGCCCAGAGACCTTCCCCTCTGGAAGAACCCACAGTCCAGGTCAATTAGGAGGTTTGGGGGGAACCCGGGCTCACCCTCTACTCCGGGTTCCAGCCCAGGGCCCTGTGGACTGCAGCTGTCTATAGTGCCTCCTGTAACAGCTGCATGACAGCTACAACTCACTGGGCTACTTCCCCATGGCCTCCTCCAAACACCTTCCTTATTCTCACCACAGAACCTTCCTCCTGGTGTCTGATAACGCTTGTGCTCCTCAGTCCTCCAGCAGCACACCCTCTCACTCTCAGCTCCTTGCGCCTCTTGCTCCCAGCTCCTCACACTCGCACCACAAACTGAAGTGAGCTCCTTTTAAAACCCAGGTGCCTTGATTAGCCTGCCTTAATTGATTCTAGCAGCTTCTTAATTGGCTTCAGGTGTCCTAATTAGTCTGCCTGCCTTAACTGGTTCTAGCAGGTTCCTGATTACTCTAGTGCAGCCCCTTCTCTGGTCACTCAGGGAACAGAAAACTACTCATCCAGTGACCAGTATATTTGACCTCTACCAGACTCCTGTACCCCACTGGTCTGGGTCTGTCACAAAGCGTACACTTATGTTAAAAAATAACCTGCACTCAAAAATAAAATAATGTAAAACTTTAGCACCTACAAGTCCACGCAGTCCTATTTCTTGTTCAGCCAGTCACTCAGACAAACAAGTTTGTTTACATTTGCAGGAGATAATGCAGTCCACGTCTTGTTTACAATGTCACCTGAAAGAGAGAACAGGCGTTCCCATAGCACTGTTGTAGCCAGTGTCACAAGATATTTACATGCCAAATGCCCTAAAGTTTCATATGTCCCTTCATGCTTCAACCACCATTCCCGAGGACATGCATCCATGCTGATGATGGGTTCTGCTCTATAACTATCCAAAGCAGTACAGACTGACGCATGTTCATTTTCATCATCTGAGTCAGATGCCTCCAGCAGAAGGTTGATTTTCTTTATTGGTGGTTCATGTTCTGTAGTTTCCCCATCAGAGTGTTGCTCTTTTACGACTTCTGAAAGCATGCTCAACACCTCATCCCTCTCAGATTTTTGGAAGGCACTTCAGATTCTTGCGTCGAGTGCCTCAGCTATCTTTAGAAATCTCACATTGGTACCTTCTTTCTGTTTTGTCAAATCTTCAGTGCAAGTGTTCTTAAAACAAACACCATGTGCTGGGTTATCATCTGAGACTTCTATAACATGAAATATATGGCAGAATGCAGGTAAAACAGAGCAGGAGACATTATTCTCCCCCAAAGAGTTCAATCACAAATTTAATTAATGCATTATTTTTTTAATGAGCATCATCAGCATGGAAGCATGTACCCTGGAATGGTGGGCGAAGCATGAAGGGGCATACGAATGTTTAGCATATCTGGCACGTAAATACCTTGCAATGCCAGCTAAAAAAGTGCCATGTGAATGCTTGTTCTCACTTTCAGGTGACATTGTAAATAATAAGTAGGTGGCATTATATCCCATAAATGTAAATGAGCTGTTTCTCTTCACAGTTGGCTGAACAAGAAGTAGGACTTAGAGGACTTGCAGGCTCTAAAGTTTTACATTGTTTTGTTATTGAGTGTAGTTATGTAACAACAAAAAAATCTACATTTGTAAGTTGCATTTGCATGATAAAGAGATTGCACTACACTACTTGTATGAAGTGAATTGAAAAATACTATTTCTTTTGTTTATCATTTTTAGAGTGCAAAAATTAGTAATCAAAAATAATAATATAAAGTGAGCACTGTACTCTTTGTATTCATTGTTGTAATTGAAACCAATATATTTGAAAATGTAGAAAAACATCAAAAATATTTAATAAATTTCACCTGGTATTCTATTGCTTAACAGTGTGATTAAAATTGCAATTAATTGCGTTAATATTTTTTGAGTTAATCACATGAGTTAACGGCGATTAATCAACAGCCCTATTAGTTTCTTGTGGTGGCTTTAGTGATGGAGATCAGGTCTAGATGTATTGCAGGGTGTTTTCACTTTCCTCTACAGCATCAAGTATTGATTATCATGAAAGGCAGACTGCACAGTAAATAGCCTATTAGACTGATATTGCTTGGCAAATCCTTTATTCTTATGGCTAGGCTGTAGGTTTTAAAACACTCCCTGCATAGGGGGTGGAGCAGAGCAAGGAGGAGCACTCAGACAGACACAAGGGGGAAAGCAACAAAAATGATAAAAGATTTAGAAAACCTGACTTATGAGGAAATACTGGGCATGTTTAGTCTTGATATAGGAAGACTGAGGTGGGGACCTGTTAAGTCTTCAAATATGTTTAACGGCTGTAATAAAGAGGATGGCGATCGATTGTTCTTCATGTCCACTGAAGATAGGACAAAAAGTAATGGTCTTAATCTTCAGCAGGGTATATGTAGGTTAAATATTAGGAAAAACTTTCTAACTATAAGGATAATTAATCACTGGAATTAGGTCATCAGGAGAGGTTGTGGAATCCCTGTCATTGGAGGTTTTTAAGAACAGGCTAGACAAACACTTGTCAGAGATGGTGTAAAGGAGTCCCATTAGGTTTTTCTCCCAGATGGTGGGAGACCCTGACCATCCCCACTTATCTACACTGGGTGGCTTATGTTCAGCTTCTGTTTCTTAGTCCTTGCAAGGAGGCCCCTGCCAATTGTGGGCCTTCTTATGGCTCTTCTGATAAGGGATCAAAAGGGAAATAAATGTACCAATGCACCTGAGAATAACTGCTTCCAGAGCCAACGCAAAGTGCAAAAGGCCCGCAGTACCTTCTGTCTAAGTAGCAGTTTTCTAGGAGTCCTTCTACCTGGATAGCTGAATCAGGCTCACTCTGTCAGGCTTACCCTGGGAGTTCAATGCATTCCCTGTAGTGTTGGGCGTTGTGATCTCCTGGATGGGAGTTCCTATTGCGGCTTCAGGAGTCGCTCCAGCTGTTTCCTGCTCAGGGTGATATCTCCCCCTGGTTGACTACAGTTTCCTCTCTAGCCCCCCTTCCCCGCCCCCCCAACATTCTGGTGCCTTCCTCATGAGTGTTGGTTCTATACCCTGTCAGGGATGGTCTAGGTTTACGTGGTCCTGCCTCAGCCCAGGGAGCTGGACTTGATGACTTCTTGAGTTCCCTTTCAGCCCTATATTTCTGTGATTCTATGAATCTCTGTCTGGGCTGTTCCTTGTACATGGTAGGTTGGCAATTTACGCCATCTCTTAGCGGATTACTGATCCTGGTGCACTGGTCCTACTCTGTGGCACGGTACAGAGGGGTAGGGCAGAGACCCCACTTCCCTGACACATTTTCTGATTCTCATTTCCCACAAACTGTCTGTACACTACCCAGAGTGCAGGGAATGCAACTGTAACTGTGTGTGGCTATTGTGAAATTAGCAAGAATGGGATGTTTTTTGCTTGCCCCCTTTGACCCTGCATGGCTGCTCACAGTGTAGCCATAGACTTAGTATTTCATAGCCTGATGTTGCATATTTGGAACTAGAGTAGATGCAGTTAAAATATTTGTTCTCTTTGTAAAGCTACTTTTTCTGTGGCGGCTGATTATGCAGTTTTGCTGCCCCTGTTTTATGTTTATGTTTCATGCAGAATATGTTGTGGCAGCCACTGACTTTCTTTCCTTGTTCTCAACTGTTGAGCATATCTGTGCACATTATCATCAATCACATCTTCATCAATTCATCTATATCTATATCTGAAATATTTTAATTTAGTCAACCCAACTCACTATATGTCATTTTAAAATCTCTTTCAAGAACGACCCACGTTTCTCAGGAGACCAATTAACCAAGTGGTTCTGGAGGAAGAGGCAGTAGAATTCCGATGTCAGGTCCAGGGGGATCCTCAGCCAACAGTCCGGTGGAAGAAAGATGATGTGGATTTGCCAAGAGGAAGGTAAGAGTAACCATTCTTGTTTTCATTGTCAGTCTCTCCTCTCTGGTTAACCCTGATTGCTTTGTTCTCTAGTGTAAAACCCTAGTAATCAGATATAATAGGTAAGGAAGTTTATTGCCTGTTGGTCAAATTACCCTATCAAATATGCTCCTGAGCTGGTGAACTAAGGAAAACCACGTGGGGTATGATCACCCATGGAAAAGGGTCTTGGGGAGAGGAGTGGTGAAGAGTTATTTTGCCCACATGGACATTCACTCCACTTGAAGAACATATCTGATGAGCCCCAGAAACAATAATAAGTACTTTAGAAAGCTGATATTCCAGAGAATAACTTACAGATGCTCTATAGGGGGCAAACAGACCAGAGTGCTTACATACCACTTGGAAACAGTAGTTGGAAGGCATAAAAGTAAGGCAGGCTGGAAGGGTTTGCTGGCGATTCTCCAGTCTTACACAATGGTTTGAGGCTAGAAAATAAGTCTGTCTTTTCTGGAATATTTTGGAAAGAAAGAAACAAAATGCCAGAAGTAGAGAAAATAAATTTAAGAGGGTTCAGTCATTAGTAACAGATGTTCTGGCAGGAAGAAAGGCAGGAAGCCACTAACACAACAGACTTAGTTTAACTTGAAAAACATATTTCCCCAGTGAAAGTGGAAAATAAGGCAACACCTTGAAAAGGTAGTTATTAATAGAGAGGTGAATTTTTGTATAATAATTTCAAGTGCTAGAACTGTAGAGGACTGAGCAAATGAAGGAGGAGAAAAGAACTCCAGCTGTGAACACATTAAGGGTGTTCCCATTGAAATTAATTGCAAAGCTTCCATTGGTTTCACTGGGAGGAGAATCAGCAGGAGCAGTCATATTCAACAACTAAACATTTCTCCTTACCTGATCAAGCACAAACAAAAGCAATGTTCATATTTCCAGAAATGGTAAAATGTTTGGTCATGACATGTTGTTGTTGATATACAAGTAGAAATAACATTAAAGGTAGTTTGCATTCATCACCTAACCCCTTGTTCATCTCCCACATAAACAATATACTGTGTAATACTATTATATTGTCTTTTCTCATTCTTCTTGTAATGTTCTGTATATAGACAGGTAAAGTGACATGAAAAATAGCACAAAAATGTGTAGGTATTTTGTTAGCACGTGCCTTGTCAATAAAATAATTCTCTGTACTGAAAATGGACATTTCATTGTATTAAGAGGTTTGTTTTTTTCTGAAGTATCAGTAAATAAATTTATGTTTTTTTTCTGTGGCTTACTCCATTATACTCCATATGAGCTTGTGTTTTGATAAGATGTTGTAAAAGGTAGCAAGCACATTTTGTTTGACATGTAGTAAACTTTACCTATCCCCGCCCCGACTTCCTCTTGGTAGACTGAAGGCCTCTTAACACCTTCATTTGTTGACCAAAAGTGACTCTGACCATGCCTGTACTATGAGCTAGGGGGTCTCATTCCCCTGCTCATGTACACATACTTGTGGTAGCTCAATGAGAGCTAGCACAGGTATAAATAGAACTGTAGCTGTTGTACTAGCACAGGCAATGGCAGCGTGGCACAGTTTAACTGTGCGGGGTAGAAGCACTGCTGAAACTGATGGGAAAATACTCTGCACAGCTAAGCTGTGCCTCCACTTCTACTGCCCTTGCTACCACAGCTACACTACCATTTATACTTGCACTAGCTGTAATCAAGTTACCGCGTGTATGTGCCTGTGAGCGGGGAAATCACAACCCTAGGTCATACAGTAGATGTAGCCTTTGCGGGCCTCAGTTTTCATGTGCCTCAATTTCTGGGCGCTTAACTTAAGACAACTTAAAGGGGCCTGATTTTTAGAAAATGCTCAGCAACCACCATCTGAAAATGAGACCCCATTAAGGTGTCTGAAATTGGGTACTCAAAAAAAGCATACTACAAAGGATCTATTATAAATATACCACTCTTGCTTCCTGGATGCATACATATTAATCCAAAGATTTTGCTGCTCTCAATTTGGAGGGTATGACCAATCTATTGCTCCTTCATGATCTACTTTTGACTCATACCCCACCAGTAGAAAACTGCTGATCTTGTTGCTTTAACTGCTAAGTTTGATAAAGATTTCAGGCTAACAAAGAACTCCTATCTTCTGGATTTTTAAATATTTAATGTTTGGGTTTTCTTTTTTCACCAAATAATAATAATAATAATAATTCAGTTATTTTAAACATGTGTTAACTGGAATTTGTTTCTTCGTGTAATGTTCCTACTACTGATATATTGTGACATCAAAACTAATGTAATAATAATACATATTGAATTTGGGTATACTGTAATGTATTTGCACCTAATGTGGTAAGACTAATATTTTAGGAACTGATCCTGCAAACGCTATTGCCAAATGTGGCATTTACTGTTGTGCACAGGTCCATTGAAGTCAATGGTAGCAACTCATGGTGCAACAATACTCTTAGTAATATTTGCAAGATTGGGTTTTTAAATTCGTTACACATGTTGAACGTACTGTTTGAATAGGATGCATGTTTATATCTATTAAAATATATCTTTACTTTACAGTTTAAAATAAAGGGACATTTTTGACAGAGCTTTTGTTCCAAATGCAGTAACAAATGTATGTACACCTCTACCCCGATATAACGCTGTCCTCGGGAGCCAAAAAAATCTTACCGCATTAGAGGTGAAACTGCGTTATATCGAACTTGCTTTGATCCGCCGGAGTGCGCAGCCCTGCCCCCTGGAGCGCTGCTTTCCTGCGTTATATCCAAATTTGTGTTATATTGGGTCACGTTATATCGGGGTAGAGGTGTATATCTAGTGTGAGAACCACCATCAGGGAAGCTTATGATTAGAATGTTTACATCAAACTTGGGATTTTGATGTGTGGGCAGATCAAGATGTCCTTTCTTTTTTGATTTTTGTTTCACTGTGTATACTTTCGTGCTTAGGACATCTATTGTGTTCAGGTGTTTTTTAAAAATCATTGTTATTACTATTAAGTCAGACTTGTAAGTAGAAATGCCAGATTCTGAACTGATGGTGGTTTGCAATTTTATATTTCATTAGATCAGTGTTTCTCAAACTTGGGACGCCGCTTATGTAGGGAAAGCCCCTGGCAGGCCAGGCCGGTTTGTTTACCTGCTGCGTCCGCAGGTCCGGCCGATCGCGGCTCCCCGCTCCAGGCCAATGGGAGCTGCTGGAAGCGGCGGCCAGTACGTCGCTTCCAGCAGC